GATCTTGTCGGGGCGTCGCAGGGAGAAGCTCGAGAGCGGCTGCTACCAAGGAACAGGGAACAAGAAGGGCACACAGCAAGGTAATTACAGATATGTAGGAAGGATAGATTGTGTAGCTGCTAACTAATACACTTTGGCATTTGCCTTCCACTACTCAACAATCAACGCTCGAATCAAACGCTTTGAGCAATTTTGAATTTGAAATCTGAGCTTTAGTAATTTCACAATACTGATATCCGAAATCATCATCGCTCAGACATTTTCTTTTCATATCTGTGTGGTCGATCGAAAATAATACGATACTTTGACAGTGAGTGCAAAGGGTGACCAATTCGCCGACACTATTAGTTCGGGCAGTGTGATTGAGTCGTCTTTCAGCCACAACGCTTCTGAGAATAATGCTTACTTCCGAGTTGTTACGATATTGCAGCTATATGTTTATTTTTCATGCTTACGTTTTACATTTATTCGTAGGAAAACCAAAATTTAGATTCGAGTACATGCTGGTAAAGGTGCCAGATTACAAGCATTCTACCTGATAAGTTAATCCTGTCGGTGTCTGAAACCTAGTGATTCCCCGGTGGCATGATTGAGACTGAAAATCTCTAAATGGACAAAGTTTGATCACACGGTGCCTAGGGCTCATTGTGGGGTGCCTAGCCTGTACCTCCGTTCCCTCGTTCTTTGTGATGGTATACAGACCAGATTGCACATCCTTGTGGTATAGTAGTTTGGTATAGATATGCAAATGTTTGGAATAGCCAGACATGGGAATATAATAAACTATCTCACTTCTAGTTTGACCATCAAATTAACACTATTGCATCAAATCACCAGGTGATCGTCTTATAATTTCCTCTCCATTTTGTATACAGGACGTGAAAGCAATTCTACTATTTTTCTTGCCGGCACAGTGTGTGATGTTTAATGCGCATATTTTCGTCTCGCCAATAGAGACTCGATTTCAACTTTGATAACGCTGTTTCTGCCTTCAAAAGTAAGTTGTCACATGTCAACACGAAGACGTACTTGCGCAGAGTTTCCACTTGCAGGCAGATTAAATTTCCCTCTGAGCAAAAAAGGAATTGACGTATTTGTCGAGCATAATATGTTTATCGGACAGAGCGAGTAGATGACATGATATAAGCTCACGATTTTGGGAAGTTTCTACAGTGGCTCTAGACGGTATGCACCTCAAAAGCTTGCTTGTGTTTTATTGCTTAATGTTTCTTTCGACTGGTAATTAGTGTGTACTGATGATAATATTCTTTTGAGTGTATAACCTGTCAACTAAGGCACAGTTTCATGTAAATCCAAATCCAAATCTGGATACAAGCTAGCGCGCTTAGAGTCTTCACCCTTTTTCATAGCCATGAGCTCAGATGTGTGGCAATTCTAACAAAGATCTTCACGAGTGATCATCAAAACAACACCGTATGGAAGAAATAAGAGCTAAAGTGTTGCCGTTTGCATGTCAGGCACTTAATTGTTAAAGCGGTATTACGAGATAACAGAGCGTAATTTCTTACTTTAGCGTATTGTAGGTTCGCTCTGAATCAGTGAAATAAATGGTGATGATTATCACTATCAAGTTGAAAGTAGCCCTTATATAAATCAACATCAACAATCACAAATCAAGCGTTCAAACACCAGGTCTACTTGACACTTGACGCATGTATTCAATCCTGATTACTGTTAGTGCTTCAGCATTCAAGGGCATGCGGGTATGTGAATAGCGATAACACATGCACATATAGTCTTGTCTACAAGATTCAAATGCTGCCATTAAGACCTCTCTGCTATGCAAATGTAGCAAAGAAAAAGGTGGACATGCACTCCAAATTACCTGCCGTTATGAATATGGTCGTCGCTGAACTTTATTCTGTTCAAATTCTTCATTGCGTCAATCTCAGCCCTTTGCTCGTGAACAGGGACGTCCCTAACAATTTAGTATAGAAATACATCGAAGGCACCGTGCATGGATAAAAAAAACAAGTACCTCGAGTTGCGGCCGTGGCTCATTGCCGAATCGCTGAATTGCTTATAATGATATCAACCACTCGACTAAACAATACAATGTATTCAGCATCCTTTCAAATTAGCCGTCGAGACATTTTACCCTCCCCACTTAAATTTGCTGCCTCAATTGATAAAAAGCTCAATGCTATTAAGTGGTCAGCGCTGTCTCCAAGCAACCTGAATTTAGGGTAATTCAATGCATATGGACATTCACCAAGAGTGATGAACGCTCGAATCTAATGCTACGCACAGATGAACTACTGTTGTTGTTTGAAGACTCACAAAAGACGGAGCAAGTCAATAAGTTAAAAGCGCATTTCTAATCCGACGATTAAAATTCAAGAATTCATTATCTAGATTAGTTAATGTGTTTGAACCAGTAAAGCACGTATCCATTTTTCTATCAGTATTCTAAAGTCTTCACACAATTGTAGCATCTACTTATCGATGTGCAATGCATCGCCTGTGTAGCCCAGCTGCTTCTTCCATTCCGCTGAGATGCGCTCTATTGTGCGACAAGTTTTTAACAGAGGTAAAAGCATCTGATACTATCAGCAATTAATGGACGCCATTGTTAAGTCATAACCATTCGGAGGCGCAGTAACGTAGATTTAAAGGTGCAGAGCTTAACCGACAAGATTAACTTATCAGGTAGAATGCTTGTAATCTGGCACCTTTACCAGCAAAATTGACGCATGTACCAATTGAGACTCAAATTTAATCGATTAAGCACTCGTTTTCCTTAATTGGTTAAACTTCTAAGGTCGCAATTAATCTTTCAATGAATAGCCGCTTATCACACATTCAACATCAACGGACATGGCGTTTTATCAGTTTCCACACGGCTCGGGTCGTAGACATAATTTTGATTGCCCGACATTATCGGTTATCACTTTCGAAAAGGCGGCACAATATTTCCTGGAAAACTGATTCACGTATCTGCCTTTTACTGCACTGATAATGCCGTCGTTACGTCTCTACTTTCTACGGGAAGTTACGTCTTTATAGGTACAGAGCTTTTTCACTCTTACTAAGCGTATTTTTTTCTTAAGCAGCTGCATTTTGGTCGCTTGAAGTATCAAAGACCGGGACCTTTACATATACATGACAAAGTCTACATGTGATGAAGCAAGGCTTTTGTTCACTTGTCGCGGAACAGTGACCAGATTCAGAGCCCACCATTTTCTCTTATCTTACTGTTTGAACTTATTAAATTAGAAATAAAGTCGCAAGTGTAAACTTTTGCATCCCAATGGCTGGCAATGCTTGCTCGTCTTTTCAAATAGGAAAAAAGTTATTAAGCCTCCAAAGTTGGTCGACCTTTTAGTTTTGTAATTGTAGAAGACGAATTCGTGCATACATATCATCGAAAAGCAGATAAAACTTGCTCAATGAGAGCAATACGATCGACGAGTTTGTCGAACAAATGCACTAGCGACGATGAGTTTGTTAGCCCAAACGTGGTCGTTGTAAAATGAATGTAACTCATATATAATCAGCGTCTTCAATCTTCACATTCAATACTCAAAATTCAGATTTCCTATCTATTCTCTATTGCGTGCAATATCTTGGTCAATGCCTCGACTAAGGTCGATGGAGTGCGAATCACAAGCAAACACTGACTTCCTCAGCACTCACGAGTATGCGCGTATACGACTTACTTTGCTACATGTAAATACAATCTGTCTATAAGATTCAGACTTTATGCATTGAGGTCAATGACGTTTTTTAGATTCATGACGAAAAAATTTGGAAGACGAGCGTGCAGAATTACCTGACTCTGTGAGGATGGTCAACACTCAACTCCATTCCGTCCTCTTGTGAATTGTCCTTCCTAAAATTGATCGTGCATAGGAAGACGTTGTTCTGATATTTGGGACAAATCGTATCAAATACCTATCTGTAACATTGACACGTGGCAAGAAGTTCACAGCCAAGTCTCACTTTGCACAAATTGAATAACGGAGGACAAGCTCAAAAGCGCACGTAGTATGAGTGCTTATAAGGATCATTGCCAAATCGCCCATTTGTTGGTCATGTTAATTAACTACTCAATCACATTTCCAGCACTAGATCACTTTTAAGTTTTATATTTTGCCGCTTCAATCAGTAAAGCTATCAAGTGGTTCATGCTGACCGAAACCAAGGATGATCGTACGTGGAGAAATTCGCCAAAAGCAACAATTCGTTTTATAGCGAGATATACGCTGCGCACAGGCTCCCTTAGACTGTCAAATGAAAACGTAGCTACAGTAAGTCAATAATGACGTATCTTGAATCTGAAGTTCAAAGCCTTGGAATACCGTGTCGTTAGTCTGCGGGATCAGTTGATTGTTAGCCGAAATTTCTGCCAGTATAGTACGAAGATGTGCAAATATAGCCAGAATTGACGACGCATAGACATTAACATTCTCTGGCTGAGCGGTCCATTAACAATGTCACGACCCTTTCCAATGCAAATTTAGCCCATCTCGTTGCCACAATGTGTTTACAGGGGATCGTACGCAGTGTGACTGAGTAACTTTTCAGCCGCAGATAATTTCGCAGGTATTCAGCAAATGTTTCTTTCAAAGTTTTCAGCCTCCGATAGTATCAGTATCAATGAATGAGGTAAGTCGTAGCCTTTTGTAGAGCAGTACCGCAGATTTTGGCTCAATTTTTAGCAGGTAACATAGCTCTTCAAAATCACTTTCAGTAGTTTACATTTACCAGTGCACCTTACGCAAGTGCCAATCTGATCGGAAGTGTCGACACAAAACAAGTGTTAAACGCTCTTTTACGCGTATTACCTTCGTTGGTTGTTTTACATTCACTAGCTAAACTTTCTCGAGGTCACAACGACTCGTCTGATAAGCCAGTTGTCTTTTTTGACATCTTTGGTTGTTCGACAGTCTACTTCCAAATTACGGATAACAATTCTGGAAAAATCTTGGGAGTTTCTAACTATATTCGATTGATTGTGAGCCTTTTACGACTTGACAGCCTTTTTACTAGATAAATGATGCTGTCTTTACTTTCATGAGCAGTCACACCGTTAAACGTACGGAGCGACTTCTGTTATCTGGTCGCTGTTACTCAGCGTAAAATTGTTCATGTAGCTCCATTTTTAGTATCCGCCACTTGGCTTTGTTATAGTGAAAAGGCATGGCAGGACCCTCTCTACATGTGAAGAAGCAAGGGTCGTATTCATTCCTGCAACGATAACCAAATTCATAACCGATCACAATTCTGGACCCTCGCGCCCGACGCTATATTTAAGTTACTAAGCTGAAATGAAGAAGTGCTCATCATTTGAATCACACCGATAGGCAATCGTATTAGAACCTGCTCTGTATGACTGACGTAGAGCAGCCTTTCTTCTAGCTAATTGAGTTTATATATAACGTACCAAAGTTGATGTAAGAGGCTTGATCGCAAATGTTTAAAGCTATTCAAGTCTCCAAAAATTTGACTTATGGTTTGTGTCAGCAACAAGACGTTTTCACTTATAGACAGGTTACAGCTGCCTTCTTGAAGGATCGACATAATTGTCAACATAAGCATTAACTACGACATTTTTTTCGGTCTTACGATTTCAGGAAGTTACTTCAGCTTAAGCTCTAACGCCATGAGTCCAAACTTTTGTTGCTTCTGTGCAAGCGATTATGCGATGGCGCATAATTTCCGAGCCACATTATCAAATTACGAGGGCACAAAATGTCAAACACCAGTGTCTGCGTGTGCAGTAGATGCGCCATTACAAATAACAAATTGAAAGTCTGAAAATTTCATTCTGGATCTTAAATCGACCTCGCAAATCGCAAAATAAAGAGCATTACATTTTGAAGTAAATTTTGGTTTGCGCTGCATCTTGTATCTTGCATTGTGACAAATATGTGAAGAAACGCCCAGAAATTTCAATCAATATCCTTCACATATCTAGTCGATGCAACTAAAAAGTTAGCTCCATGCTTAAAGTGTTGCCCGCTTGCACGTCATGTACTCACTTATAGAAAAGGTATTTTGAGATATCAGACTCTTACTCAAGCAAATTGTATTCGGTAAATTAAACGGTGATGGTTATCTCTGAGAAATTCGTGCCATTTTATATAGTGCCGAAATCCGACATAACTGAAGTTCAGTCTATAATTGAAAGTTCAAGCAAAACCTGTTCGTGCCGTTCAATTCACGCGTTGAACGCTGTGAAGCGAATCAATTCTACTTATCAACTTTTCCATGTATAGAATACTCTCAATTCAGGTCGCTTTTGATTAGGACTAAATTATTGCGTTTCTATTAACGAATGCAGCAAATGTATAACTTAAAGGAGCTTGACATACAGTCGAGTCGTTGATGATCATGACCATTGATTCCGCGATTCGGCAACGAACTACGTAAAGACCATGGCACTTTTGCTTTAAAGTCCATATTCGCTTGTCCACAATGTCATGTTCGTGCAAAGCAAGTCATGGTTGTTTATACGTTGTCAGCGTTATGAATATTTGGCATGCAGTATCTAATTCACTCAAGAAACTATCTGTTTAAAACTCTATGCAAACGCTTAATTTCAGGTATACATTCGATTAGTTGGGAAAGCGTGCAGTCGGATATAATTGTGATTGAGGTGACAATAAAACAGGGGGTAAAGTAAATCGAAGAGACGAACACCGTGTTCAAAGGCAGGTGATTTTGAGTGCGTGTCTTCATTTTGCCTTGTAACATTTAATATGATAGAGAGTGCGTCAAGGTATCGCCTTCAAACGTTCTAGGCAAAATTGTTTAAAGCTGTTCGTATACCGCATGCTGTAGCCCTCAAAAGCACTAATTTACATGTATCGTGCACTAGATAGACCTTAGGATTGAGTTTTGGTATACTGTAGTCGTAGATCAACAAATAATTAGCCCGAAATAATAAGCTTGTATGGAGATGTGCAAAAATAGCTGGACTTGTCGACGCGGGGACATTATGACTGCATGTCTGAGTGGTCCATCGACAAAGTGACAATTCCTCGACAAGCCCATCTCGCTGTCACAATCGTTGTTACAGTGGTACAACAATTTGGCTGAGAAGCACAAGTTTTTTTTAAATAGTTAGAAATATTCATTTACTGATACTCTGAAACTTTACAGTATTGTATGATCTCATTGGTAGCACAACAGACATTTCGATGGACAAGGCATCGCCTGGATTGTCCAACGACTTGGTTTAGCGCATGTTTTACCTTCCATCCCGTCGTGATGCGCTCTATTGTGGGACTAAGTAACAGAACAGACTTTTCTTTCGAGAATAAACATCTGATACTATCAGAATTCTGTGGACGCCGTTGTTAAGTCATGACCATTTGGAGTGCAGTAAAACCTATTTCAATGGTGTAGAGCTGAACAGACATGATTCTTCTTTACAGATAAAGTTTGGTGAAATGAGAATATATTTTCTGTACCAGCAAAGTTTAGGCAAGTACCAAAAAAGTTGGTAGCGTCGACACAAACTAATCGGTTAAGCGCTCCTTTACCTGCGAATGTCGCGCTCGCCCGGTTGTTCTGCATTTACTGGCTCAATCTTCTCAAGGTAATTCACAGACGCTTTCAATGAAACGAAATGCGCCGTTTATCGCACTTCAACATCAACGGACATGGCATTTAATCAGTACCACAGTCCTTGAGTAAGTAAACCCATCTTTAATTCTTCAACTATACCGTCTGCAGTTTTAAGAGATAGGTAGCACAATAACTGTGTAGAAAAGTTTTGGCTTCTTTTACTATCGGGAGCTGCTTTTTACAATTTGACACCCTTATACGATTTCAATAATCATAAAAATACGGAACGGCCTCTCTATATGTAGCCTGCTCTCTCTTACAGTTACAATGCATAAAGTTTATGTTGAAGCGACTTAGTCGTTCGTAGTAGGATCGACCGGGTCTTTATCATGAGTGGAAGGTGCGACACAAAGCAACCTCTACATGTAACAGAGCAAGGCTTGTGTTCGCTTATCGTGCACCAGTGACCAAATTTCTCGCCAACCACTAATATTTATTATTCTTCATATCCGATATTATACTTAATTAAAGTAGAGTTCAGGTCAGTTTAGACTTGCCATCTATTTGCTGGCAAGTGTAACTGGGGCCTTGTTTACTCGCCACAACTTTAGCGTCACACCGACAGGCGATTTGCATTGTAACCTGTTCGTCTTTTCGTGTAAGGGGGTGAAAGCAGCTCTTCCAGCTGGGTGTACGGATGTGAGTTTGCTACGTCCAATGTGCGGATTTTTAGCTTTTAAAAAAAAGCCGTCAATTAGTGTAGAAGGGCTTCTCCTTAGGCTAAGAATCTTTGTCCATATGTGCTCCTCAATGATAGTGACGACATCATCTTAGTCAACTACAGGGCCTCAGAGTGCAAAGATCAAACAAAAAGGAATGACTAAATCCTTCCTCTATACCCCTATCGTCGCTTAATTAGGGGTGAACGACTGTTACATTGTTATCAATTTAGCGGGGTTCTCAGTAAAAGAGAGGTGAAGGTGCGGTCGAGTCGTAAAGTTCGCATTGTCAAAGGTCATTTCCAAATTTACAGGCCACCTGCCACAGCAAACCATGCAAGTCATGCAATCTTCTTCAGGATCAGTGGTATGCCAAACTAAATACGCAAAAGTATACGACGAACAGTTGCAAACGATGCAACTTGACCGAGCTCCGTGGCAATGTATTAGCCACTTGCCTAATCGCCGACTCATGGTCCAGCGTATTCTACAGCTTTCGCAGCATTCCCGCAAGTTCGATATAAATCCCGATCGAGCAGTGCTTTTGGCTAAACACATTGAATTGGCACTTTACTCACGTGCTGGATCGCTTGTGGAATATTGCAATTTGGCCACATTTCAGCGTCGACTTCAAAGTCTTGTGGCCTCAAGTGTACACGAAGCAACTGCATGTAAAAACTTGCAAAAGCGAAAATATCATTTGGTTACTGACCATATCATGCAAGGACACAGAGCTCTCAAACGTCGTCGGTATACCGCAAGTAATCTATTTCCGTTGCTTGGTGAAGATTGCACACGTCGCATTTTTGCGTTCCTCGATGGTAAAGAACTTATGCAATACCGAGTTTTGAACCAGTTTGCCGCAGCTTTTCTACCAAGTTGCGCTTTGACATTAGCAGTCGAAGTGACACAATTGACAAATGGATTATCAAGCGATTCGTCACTGTTGCAAATGACCAACATTCAGCATCTAACTGTTTATCAACGCGGAATCGAATCAGCTGCAAATGTGGGTTCGGCAATCACGCCACTTTATGCCTGGACCTGTCCAGATCGTCTACCAAGTCAGTCTAACGATGGAGAGAGTGCTGTACTCGCTTTGGCCGATGCACTCAGCGCTGGCGTCTTCCCAAGCCTCACAAAGCTACAGCTCAATTCTGTCTTTGTCAACACGATGAGTGGAAATGCTCTTCGTGCACTCTGTAACACATTGGCCACAAACTGTTGTCCACATTTAAACGACTTCCTTCTTGCTGGCAACAGTATCGCAGATCTTGGGGCGATTGAGATAGCGCATCTTCTACATTCGACCATAGCCTCTCGTCTAACTCGACTGGATTTGCGACGTAATTTTATCGGCGAGTCAGGAATGCGTGCGATTTTGTCAGCATTAACACGACACTCGAATCCAGTTCTTCAAGTTTTATGTTTAGGGGGTAATTTGGTCACGGACAACTGCGTAAAGCAGTTGCAGCAGCTTTTGGCGAATTCAAGATGCAGTAAATTGCGATTTCTAGGGCTTGAAGACAACTTTTTGAGTGTCGACGGCGTGCAACGTGTGCTGGAGACAGCAGCAGTCAGCAGTTTACCGTCCAAGAGGCCACGTCGTGTCTCGTGCGACGGAGCGAACTAGTTTGATTATTCACTATTTTGAAGTAGAATACAAATAGATTTAAATATAGAATTTCGACATGCAGTGGCATACCTAAAATTATATCACTAGTAAAAATATTGTCAATAAATCAGGTACAATTAATTTTGGCTTATTAGTATCTTTAAGTGTTAGCTAAAAATTTCAGAATCTTATTAACGGCTTTCCGTTACAAACCGGTCACCAACATCATTTCAGAAGCACAACTAAGCAGAACGCACAGCTCAAATACTTCATTAATTTGTACGGCTTGCGCTCGATTATAAGCAGCGCATCACGTGCTCAGTAGGGCACTGATACGCTCTGTTGTTGCAACTCTCGGGTTTACCGTAATTTCAGGGAGAGAGTCCGTCACAACGCTATGATGAGTCAAAACTTACGTCACACAATAATATAATACAGTCCTTATTGGTGATATTCTTCTGGCGGTGTCGTGGAGACATACCATCCCCACTGTGGAGACTTCGATTCCCAATCTGCTTGATTTTGAACATCTTGAGCATGACATTTTTGCTCGTTTGAATCCTCCTCTGCTACGTCAGCATCAAATTCGCCTAACTGAACATTAGTCATCAACCATTTAGTTCAAAACACATACTATGTAGACCCTTTCACTGTAACGTACACTGAGGTTGCGAAGACTTAAAGTGTGGTTTCTGGACAAACTGGACGAATCGCTCTCGGTACTGCTAGACTGATCATCTAGTGGATTCTTCTCGGGATGGAGGTATGCTATTGTTAATTTGCGCTCGCCCTCTGCTGCTGTCATGAGGTACGTGATTACACTCACAGCAGTGACAGCAGCTGTAGCAACGACAGGATGCTCCTTGACCCAGCGAATGCCGGCAGCAAATTCGATTGGGGTCGGAAAAAATGATGGTGCGACGACATCCAGCATGATGAAATTTGCACGTCTGAGCTCAGTACTTGGGTAGCAATGAAATTAAACTTGATGAGCGCAGGAACAAGTTTGTACGTTCAATTTTTGGACTTGGTTTGTTTTCAAAAACTTTTGGACAATGGAGACTGTAAGGGCCGGTTTCATCTTGAAATTTGCACGTGGCAGACAAGACAACAGATGCTTGCAGAAAAGGAATGTTAGAAAACCTGGATAAACCTATAAAGGAGGCGAGTCTAATCTCGTGGGATAATTGCTAAGTATTCGATTTTATCTGTACAAACAAATAGCTATGAATATGCATTTAGCTTCGCGTTATCTTCTTCAAGAGGGTTAATGGCGGCTCGGGTTGAAGCAGCTTTGTGACTTGTCCATTGCACTGCTACACATACTGCAGAGTGGAACCTAGTAAGCTTAATTAAAAGTTTATAGTGCCTACTTAAATCTGTGATTGAGTTTTGTTTCAGCATTGCACACTGGAATCCTGCCATTGCTTATCCCAGGTTTTAACTGACAACACCGTCAAATAGAAGTAACGGCATTCGTCGGTAAAAGAATGTGAAGGACCGGACACTGAGCACACTTTTAGAAGCTATTGCTCCAAATATATCACCTAAGTATGCACAGATTCGAAAGTCTGCTCAAAATCAGTACCACTGTAAATAGAGTTAAATTGTGCATGCCACTACAGCCCATCTCGGTTGTGATAGTGACAGCTCGCATTGTCAAAATATCGTAACATCGTCAATTGCACATCTCGGCATAATGCAGACTTTTATTTACGATGATTCAAAGTTTGATCGTTTCCAGATAAGGAATTTTATCAGCGGGCTAAGTTTTTAATTTTACAAACCAAACAAACCTTTGTGCAGCGTCATGAAGCCAATCATTACATTGATGATTTATCATCATGTATTTAATTATTTGTAACTTACTGACTTGATAGATGATAGCTTTATATCACTTAACAAAAGTAGCAGTATACTCAAATATGGACCTGACCGTTTCAAATGTCGTGGGGGCAGAGAATATATATTTGAAGCTGTACTTACTCATCCATTTTAAGTGATCTACCAGCAGTGGTGTGCTGCAGTCAGGGTTTTGTGTAGATGTGGATGGGAATGTGGTGAGGCGCGAAGTAGACCCCACGGAGTGAATCATTGCTGCTATTGTGGCTAGTGAGCTGTCGCTAGCAGTTGTAGACGAACCCTCATCGGCTTTGCGGATCGCGAGGTGATTTGTCTTGTCTCTCGAGCTGGCTGCGGTAACATCACAAGAGAGAGACGCGACGCTGTGCAAGACGTTCGACACCAGGAGATCGCCGCTGCTGTAACGTCGCTAATAACTGGTCGAGACCAAATAGTGCTCAATCTACCGATTCGGTGATCGAGTGTTGTGCGTCATTTTTGGAGAGCGAAGTTCCGGAGCACCGCACTTTACGATTATAAAAGAGGTGTCGGCACGTTTCAATCGTGAGACAGTCCGAAGTGCAACGTTGCAGGACTGGGTTGTAATTGCTGTGGCATCCGAAAAAAATAATATCGCGAGGGCATAACGCCAGTGGCATGACTCCATGCAGCAGTCAAGTCTGCGTGCTACTTACATAGCATCCTGATGCCGAGTTCGTCATTCACAATTGACGCTGGAATGGGATTGTGCATTTGATATCAGCTTCTGGGAACCAGTGTCTCCCTGGGGGCCTTGGAAGAGATGTGTTGGAACCTCTGCGACCAGCGGGCTACGGAAGCAGCGATCTGGTTGTCCGGTGACTTTAGGAGACGCGTTGACGTCGTGCGATAAATGCAAACAATGCGATGTGTAGTTCTTTGTGCATGAACTAGTCATGTCTAGCTCACACATGCAGTGCGCCATCACGGTGAGCTCAGCCAGTGGTAATTGAAAAAGGAGGTCATGGAAAGCCGAGAAGCCACCACGCGTCGTTCTTCTTTGATTTCGTTTTTTTTACAGCAGTTCTTTGGGCTCGTCGCTCGCCATGTTTGAAAACTTCAGTGCTTGTACTCAATGCCTTAGATCGGTGCCGTCAAAAAGGGCATTATCGGCTTATGGGGTGAACCTTTAGGCGTTTCGTTTCTTGTCGATCGATGCTCGAGACGAGTCGAGGAGCGGGTGCTACGCCTCGAGCATCTGGAGCTGAATGGATACCAGCCAGCGTGCGAGACACGAGTACATGTAGAGGTTTGTTTTCTTTTGTTAAGCTGACTGCGCGATCTACGGCAGCGGCAGGACCATTGAACCTGATTTGGCGTAAAACTTTGTGCAAGTTGCTGGGCATCAGAGTAAAAAGCGTCGTTAAGACTTACTTCGAAATACTTGCAAGGAGAAATTGCAGCGCTGGTGCAAATGACTTCCACTCATTTAGTTTACGTTAGAAAACGCTTCGCATACCCCACGCATTTTTTACCAATTTCACAAATCGTCTATTTGACTCCGGCTTTCGTCATTGTGGTACCTTTGATCAACCTGGCTCTCAGCCAAATGCCGCGCACCCGACTTATGACGCTCGATCTCACTGAATGAAATCAATGATTTTGTATGTGTGTAGTTGTGCTGATTTCAGTAAGCTGGATGCCTCCAGAGACATTAAACAGCAGGGTTGCCGTAGCTATTTCGGTTATAGAAGCTAAGCTTAGGTCGATGACCTTACGTTCGACACTAGAACGAGTACGACTGTAGCGGATTGCAATCTGCTACTTCCAAAAGTACTACAAACCTTAAACCAAGGCAAATAAACTCTTCCGTTCAAAATTTAATTTGCGGCATAGCCGCCTAAATCTATTTCTGTAGGTTCTCTTAATCAAAAAGTAAAACCTAACTAAAATGCATAACTACTGGCAGTGCCGCAACGAAGTGGCGTCTTGTTAAGATGTAGCTGGTCACACAAGATTGTGTGACCCACCCCTTCATACCAGGGTATGTGTAACCCCGTAACACATTATGACTTGTAATCAAAGGCACGGAAGCCAAACACTGGCTTTAGTTTGTTATTTGGATGATAGTACTACTCTCGGCGTTTTAATGGGTTCATCGATAGAGATCTCGACTGTACTACAATAATGTATATCAAATTACGCCTACTGTTATTTATAGAAAAAATTGTTCAAGATCGTTCAGAGCACTAGAAGAAGGTTGAAGAGTTTATTAGATACTAGCGGGTATGTTTGCGCTAAAAACACATTTATGGACAATGCGTTCCGGCCTCGACGAGATTACTATTCTGGATTGATGCTTGGATAAAAATACGTTCATACATTACACTCCATCTGATCAACAGATGTCAAAAATACGCTAAATTTACATACAAAGCATGAGGGTGTGGGTGGCCATGTTGGTGATTAGTTACTAATTTTCTCGGTGGCATTTTGAGCCTATCGAGAATTATGCGCGGAAAAATTTGCGCTGGTACGATGCAACGGATTGCCTTGGTCGGACGGCACAGAGAGATCTAGACTCAAGACAGTCAAGCTCTAATAGTAGAGGAAAAGCAGAACGGCTATTATGCCGGGAGCTCTACCTTGCTACTTGATTTCTGTAAGTCAAGTCAGAATGAGCGCGGAAAAGTGTTCCTTGAGTAAATATGATGCGGATTGATACCTTGGTGTAGATATGAGCGAAATAAGTGCATCGGTAATAGGGTCTTGGTCCGAAGTGCCGTCCAAGTACTACTTGAGATCCATATTGCGATGTTATCCCTCGTAGTTGCACAAAAAAACTTAAAGTTGCAAGATCGTTTTATAACGATGACTATATGAATAATATCTCGGTGCTAATTTCAGTCCAGTCGAGTGACTAAAGTCGTATTCCACGCTATCTCTTCCCCATCACAATGATACACCACTCGCACTAACTGTAACGGGGATACACGTACCCTGGTAAAAGGGTGTGTGTCACACGAGATGGGCATGGTGTGACTGCACTCAAACAAGAATACGGTAT